GGGGTCTACAGGGGGGCGCAGGGGGGCACAGGGGCCTGGCACTGGGGGTGCTGGGAGCCACAGGGGCCTATAGAGGCCATAGGGGCTAGAGGGGCCTGGCACTGGGGGTGCTGGGAGCCACAGGGTGACCCCCGGTGTGCTGGGGACCAGTAAAGGCCTGGCACTGGGGGTGCTGCCGGGAGCTATAGGTCCTATACCTGACCCCCGGTGTGCTGGGGACCAGTAAAGGCCTGGCACTGGGGGTGCTGCCGGGAGCTATAGGTCCTATACTGCCCGACTGCCGGGCAGCAGGAGAGAGGCACCGGCACGGTGCCAACGCCCTTCCTAGCCACGCTTGTCCCTTAGTTTATGCCATGTTTGTTGTTATTATTCTCATTTATTAATTATTCCGCGGGCGCTGCGGAGCCTCCTGAGCTTCCCGGCTCGGGGGCAGCGGTTCGCCACAGCTGGGAGTTTATTTACCATCGTTTTTACCAGGATGCAACAATTGCTGGTGATATTTTTTGCGAGCACACCGGTTGCTATAAATAGACTATCAACACAGGAACTTGCTGATTATTCCCATCCCTCTGTGTCATCCCTTATTAGTCTGTATCTTCCCGTTGACCTGCCGATGCACCAGCTTGCTGCTCTCCACCAGCCTGCGCTTGGGGACGGGGCCGTGATCCCCCCCCAGCGTGCGACAAGGCGGCAGCCCCGAATGGTGAGCCCCCCGCTCCGAGCGCCCCATTTCCCGCCTCCTCAAGACCCGTGTTTAACACTAGATGGTGGTGTCTTCATGGAGTTTCGGCCTGAGGATCAGCAGCTGTTAGTCACAGCACAAAATCTCCCCGGAAAAAGCCAGGTGAGATATTGGTGGTGTGAAAGAGCCGCTCAAAGCCCCTTCAGGTATGAGCCCTTTGGCAGGGGATTCCTGTGCTTGCAAGGAAGGGCACGGGCAGCCCCCAAACCCCCTGTGCACCCGAAGAGAGGCTGCGGTCGAGACGCGCAGGAGGGCGACGGGGAAAACCCCAGCGGCTTCTCCAGAATCCCGGAGGAACGAGCCCTGGGAGGGTTTTAATCACCCATCTGAGGATTTTGCCTTGGCTCCTGCGCTGTACGGAGGATTTGGGGGATTTGACCTGCGGCAGAGTGAGTATTAATTTGGATTATTGGGATATTAGCTTGAATATTAGCTGCCTTACAGGGGATAAGTCGGGCAGGGCTCCAGGGCACCGCAGACGCACAAATACCCAGCAGCCTCCATGTTAAAGCACTAACGAGTCGCTAGAGAAAGGCGGGGGGAAACTGAGTCACAGAAAAGGCGCCTGCCTCACCCAGCACGGTGCAGAGAGGAGCCAACACTCACCCGCCATGAGGCCACCCTCGGCCTTCATAATCGTCTCTTGTGCTTTTCAG